AAAAATCAGCAGGATGTGGTGGATGAGGTAGTAGGATCGCTTAAGCCCAGGAAGTCAAGGCTGCAGTGAGCCAAGATCACACCACTGCAGTCCAGCCTGGTCAAAAGAACAAGACCATATCTCAAAAAAGAGAAGAACATAAAAGAAAGCACAGGACTGACTGATGGGGAAAACTGTACTCAGTTATTTTCATCTAGATCTAAAATTAGAGAAAAAAAATTATAAACATTATTTTTAAAATCCATGCCATGGGACACTACATTTCTAAGTCAAAGAAATATTCCTTTTTAATCTTACATGAATCCTTATTTATTCTGGAAAAATAAAGAAGTTGCTATTACCAAAGCTGGTTTCTCATCCTCAAAACAAAAGTATTTTTGATTACTCTGGTTCTTCTTGCTGTTTCTAAAATTAAGAAGAATCAAAGAGTGCAATAGCAAAGTAAGTATTTCTTGAGTGTCCTAAGTCTGAGATTCTGACAACATTCATTGAAAACCTACATTGAATAAGATTATTTGGTTACTAAAATCTCAGAAAACTTGCCCTTTTAAATGACTTAATTTAGTTCAAATTTATACAAATCTACACTGTCAAAAACTCAATTTGAATTATACCTATAAAGCTTATTTATAACATTGATTGTAACATTTGACTTGTATTATTATAAGACTTTAAATGACTTAATTTAGCTCAAATTTATACAAATCTACATTGTCAAAAACTCAATTTGAATTATACTCCTAAAGCTTGTTTATAACATTGATTATAACATTTGACTTATATTACTATATTCTCTATAAAGAATCAGTTTGCTTCTACATTTGCAGAAACATTTGTGAAATTCTTAGTGTAAAACATCTTATTTAACACAGTACATTAATTTACCAAATAACACATTACAGGTGAAATAAAGGCTTAATACCTACCTAATATGCAGAATACATCAGCAAGAATGGAGGGCATATCCTCACGAAATTCCTAATTTTAAAAATATAATTACAGTAAATACCAGAAAAGCACACAGCAAGTATGAGGGTTATTCTGATAACATTCTTCAGTGAAACTTAAAAACAAAAACTGGCTGGGAGCAGTAGCTCACACCTGTAATCCCAGTACTTTAGGAGGCCAAGGTGGGCAGCTGACTTGAGCCCAAGAGTTTGAGACCAGCCTGGACCACGTGGCAAAACCCTGTCTCTACAAAAAAAAAAAAAAAAAAAAAAATTAGCCAGGTGTGATGACACATGCCTGTGGTCCCAGCTACTCAGGAGGCTGAGGTCAGAGGATTGTTTGAGTCCAGGAGGTGGAAGCTGCAGTGAGCCAAGATTGCACCACTGCACTCCAGCCTAGGCAACAGAGGAAACTCTGTCAAAAAAGAAAAAAATGTATTTGCAGAGGGGCTGAAAAAAAATTTTTTTAAACTAACAAAAACCCCATCATTATATTGACCAATATTAAAATTTTTCACGTTAACTCTCCTAATACAGAGGAAATAAAAGAGGGAGATAATGTTTAGAAAAAATGTTTAACTGTCTACCATGAAATAATTTGAAAACAAAAGAAACCTAAACACTTTAGGAAATATTAAAGAGCACAAATGAGTAACATTCTTCCAGTGAAGTTTCATTTTAGAAATCACTGGAATTTAGAGTACCTCATACCTACCTAAAGGAAGACTGTTAAAAATGGATTCTGGCCGGGCGCAGTGGCTCATGCCTGTAAGCCCAGCACTTTGGGAGGCCGGGGCAGGGGGATCACTAGGTCAGGAGTTTGACACCAGCCTGACCAACATGCTGAAACCCCATCTCTTAAAAAAATATACATAAATTTTAAAAAATTAAAAATAAATAAATAAAAATGGTGCATTCTTCATCCAAGACTTTAGATGTTGACTATGCAAAAATCACAATGGTATGAGAGAAACAGAATCTTGAAAATATAAAACCAGCTAAAAAGCTAAAGGCTAGTTTTGAGGGTTATTTTTTAGTTTCAGGAGATAAATATACAGGTTACATGAATATATTTTGTAATGCTGGGGTTTGGGCTTCTACTGAATCCATCATCCAAACGGTGAACACAATACTCAATAGGTAGTTTTTTAACACTTAGCCCTCCTCCTCCCTCTCTCCCACCTTTCTTGAAGCTCAATATTCTCTTCATTTTCTTTACTCACTCTTGTTGTAGCCTTTGGAGAAAATGACTCAAAATCGGGCTGGCGCAGTGGCTCACACCTATAATCCCAGAACTTTGGGAGGCCAGGGTGGGTGGATCACAAGCTCAAGAGTTCAAGACCAGCCTGGCCATGGTGAAACCCTGTCTCTACTAAGAACACAAAAATTAGCCGGGTGTGGTGGTGCGTGCCTGTAATCCCAGCTACTCGGGAGGCTGAGGCAAGAGAATTGCTTGAACCCAGGAGGCAGAGATTGCAGTGAGCCGAGATTGCGCCACTGCACTCCAGCCTGGGTGACAGAGCAAGTCCCCGTTTTGAGGGAAAAAAAAATGACCCAAAATCCTCCCATGTCTAAATAAAAATTTCAGCATTATTCTAGACTTGTCTCTTGACTTTCCACTCCCACACTCAATTTTAGGACTGTTTTCCATTAGTAAGGATCATAGTTCATTTATTGCAATGAATAGTCTGCTGGCAGTACAGCAACACTAAAATTAGCCTATTTTCAGAAACTAAAAGAAATTCTGAAGAAAAATCTGGCAGCTGCAAGGAGGCACATAAGACACACTTCTGTGGCTACAGACAATGTATAGTACTAAGAGAAGGCCATGACAAAGACAATCAAGCTGCAGAAGTATCTATAAAGACATCATTAAGTACTCAAAAGAAAGAAGAAGTTATGTAAGAATTAAATACACATACATAAAATTGACTTGAATTATCCATTTTCAATAAATGAAAAAAGAATTAGAATCAGATCCCATAAACAAACTAAAACCTATACCAATGCTCAATTTACAAAATGAAATAACCTTGTCAATCAGATTGTAGCCTCAAATTTCTTAAGGACTCTGAACTCTGGTTATGTCTATTTAAATGCAAGTACTCAGGCTACTTGAAGATCAGAAATAAAGTAAGACAAGAGTTTTCAAACATGAAATATTAGTTAAGAAAGATTGGTAGCAACTGAATTTTTTTAATGTTAAAAAAAAAGGAAATAGACCTACTCCAACATGAACTAATGCTGTTGTTATCAGCTGGAGACAATTTAGAGACAAAAGGGTAACTCAATGAATTCCTACTGCTCAAATACACCCCAATATGGGGTGGAAAATCACAACAGCTAAACTTAGAATTTCCTTAAGACTATCCCTGGGAAAGCACAAAAAACATACAAATATTACCTCCCCTAAAAGAAAAAAAAGGCTACAGAAGATTAATGAAACACAGTAGTGAAGCTCAGACTGAGACCAAGAAACTTCAGATCCCACACCTTAATAAAACCTATTATAAAAGAGAATCTGAATTTTATTTATATACAAGTTCATTATATATGGATATACACACACACGCATATATATATACACAAGATAATTTTATTTATATACAAGTTTAAAAACAAGCATAAAAGAACAGCACACCACTCGTAAAAACCTCAAACTTAACTGCTAGTTTACAATTTGAAAGCCCATCTTCCAATTGAAAAGCCAAAGCACTATGAAGAATATCTGGTGTGACTCTAACTTAAATTCTCCAATAAATGAAAGAGTGAAACACAATAACCATGTAAGTTTTTTTTAATCTAGTTAATATTTTTTAAACCATAAGTAGATGAAAATTAGCACCAACTGAATGTTAGAGACAACCAACCACAATTTAAAATAATTTAATCCTCAATTTTTAAAATATATTTAATTTCTAAACATAACTACAAACAAAAAAATGGCTTATTATGCTGTATTGGGAGAAAAATATTTTAGCCAAATTACTTTTAAAAGAGAAAATTTAAAAATCCATCTACTACTATAATTTTGAATACAATAAAAGTTATACACTTCAGGGATCTTTTGTGTCAAAGCAAAAAGATATATAACAACTCTTATATATATTATATACTTACACTAATGTCATTAAGAACATTAGATGCCTGTTCATGCTTTAGATTTCCTTTAATTACATGATATGACAATTCATAGAGAGCTTGCTGGAAATCTGTTGAACGTAAGAGAAATAATATAAAGATACAATCTCTTGAACATGAAAAACAAATCTATATATTTCCTACTTCTCAGAATTATTATAAACATCAATAATGAAAAATGTATTTCTAATGCTTTTTCTCTAGTACTTCTTTTATTTTCATAAAAACACAAAATTAAAAGGTTAGAAAAATATTAACCATCCCTCCACTACTATAACCACAGGTTGAGCATTCCTTTCCAGTTTATTCTGGATGTCTACAGATTTTACATATTTAAATTTGCTATGCACATCATATAGTATTCTAATTTCCCCAAAACACTTTTAAAAGCATTTTTTTCATGCTACTATACTCTCTATAATTATTTTCAATGAACTCTAGCAAGTGAATTTAAACTAATCATTTTCCTCACCAGTAGACTTCAGATATATACTCAATTCAACCCCAGGGCCACAGTGACACCAGATAAAGAGTAGCAGTAAACATAGTACTGAGTTTTAACCATACCCTACTGTCAGAGAAATTTCTCCCCAAATCTAAATCTCTTTGTCCCATAAAAATCAAACAAAAAATACATCTATATATACATGTATAAAATGGCAGCTCTATAACTGTCAACCACAAATAACCCCATTCACTACTAATTACCACAGCCCCCTTTCCTGAAGAAATATTTTTTGGTTTTGGAGAGGGTAGTTAGTGGTCAGGTGAACACCTTCTGGTCATCTTATTTTTCGTCCCATATACTAAAATTTACCTCCTTCCAATCATGAAAAGTAGTGAAACAAGAAGCTTTAAAGATGCTAATGTAAAATAAAGTCTGTTTATAACCTCCTTTTGAGCGGAATCAAATTTTTTTCAGAACCGAACAGCAAGTTAAAAAATCAAATATTTAAAAAATCTTCTTGGCCAGGCTCAGTGGCTCACGCCTGTAATCCCAGCACTTTGTGGGGCCAAGGCAGGAGGATGGCTTGAACCTAGGAGTTTGAAACCAGCCTGGGCAACTTAGGGAGACCTCGTCTCTACTTTAAAAAAAAAAAAAAAATTAGCCAGGTGTGGTGGCGGTGCACCTGTTGTGCCAGCTACTCGGGACGCTGAGGCAGGAACTTGAACCCAGGAGGTCAAAGCAGCAATGAGTTCTGACTACATGATGATCTCAAAAAATATAAAAAATAAAAACTTCTCCCCTGCTATGACTACTGCCCACAAAAAGGAACATAATAGAAATCAAAATGTATATAAATCCCCCCTTAATGAAAACACTATTTTGCAGTAAAATTAACTTGTTCATTAAATCATTTGCTAAGGAAACGTAGTCAGATTATTCCAATTCTTTATGAAGAATTCATTATTAAATATATTCTGCCTCTTTCACAACTATACCTTCATTGTGCTTTTTCTTTTTTACTTTTTTTAATAGAGACAGGGTTTCACCATGTTGCTCAGGCTGGTCTTGAACTCCTGACCTCAGGTGATTCATCCATCTCAGCCTCCCAAAGTGCTAGGATTACATGCATGAGCCACCATGCCTGGCCTCATTGTGCTTTTAAATAAATAAACAATATAAAAACAAAGGAAAAAAATTTATATTTCTTGGTATGGCAGGAATAAGAGGTCAACTTCATGCTTTGTATTTCCATGAATAAAATGCTTTACAACAAACAACAAATAATACTTATTTAAAATTATCCAGACAACTAAGTTTTGTTGCTGTTGTTGTTTGCTTTTAAAAAGCAATCACTTAGAACAAAATAGCCAATTATCTAAAACTAAGGTCCCATGCGAGTATGTTCTCTGGTACTCATAGGGGACCAAGCAAAAAATTTATATTTTTTGGTATGGCAGGAATAAGAGGTCAATTTCATGCTTTGTATCTCCATGAATAAAATGCTTTACAACGAACAACAAATAATACTTATTTAAAATTATCCAGACAACTAAAGTTTTTTGTTGTTGTTATTGTTTTTAAAAAGCAATCACTTAGAAGAACAAAATAGCCAATTATCTAAAACTAAGGTCCCATGCGAGTATGTTCTCTGGTACTCATAGGGGACCAAGGAAGTCTAATCTTAATCACAGAAGGAGATTAAAATAGAGAACAAGTGGCCTGGGTCATTTTGCTGACACTAAAATGATATAAAAACAATCACATTGTAATCCATACAGCAGCAAAGACAGTCCCCAAATCACACGTTTTCTTTTTCTTTTTTTTTTTATTTTGAGACAGAGTCTCGCTCCCCAGACTGGAGTACAGTCACGCGATCTTGGCTCACTGCAACCTCTGCCTCCTGGGTTCATGTGATTCTCCAGCCTCAGCCTCCCGAGCAACTGCAATTACAGGCATCTGCCACCACACCCAGCTAATTTTTATATTTTTGGTAGAGACAGGGTTTCACCATGTTGGCCAGGCTGGTCTTCAACTCCTGACCTCAAGTGATCTGCCCATTTCAGCCTCCCAAAGTGCTGGGATTATAGGTGTGAACCACAGCACCTGGCCTAATTCACCAGTTTTCTAAATGCCTATTTAAAAATGGTTAGGAATTCCTATTGTGTTTTATCCATAGATAAACACTAGCTATGGTTTAAAATTATCAGACTAGTTCCATAGAAACCTATAAAATCTATATCGCAGGTGAAAAATTTTAATTTATATTTACAATGAGAAGGAAAACTTACAACCCTTATAGTTATCCACAAAAAATTCAATGAAATATTTTATCTTAATGCTAACACTTCAGAAAGAGTAGTTTTAAGAATAGCTACTAGAAGGTAGAGATTCTTAGTTTTTGCGGGGTTTGAAGGCTGAAGACACCAGTTCTTGGTTATATCTAATATCACTAGTACTACTCATTTTTTTTTTTTAACAATAATGTACTGTTTATGTTCAAAAAGCTAGAAGGGATTTTGAATTTTCCCAACACAAATGATAAATGCTTGAGGTAATACACTAATTACACTAATTTGATCATTACACATTATATACAGATATGAAAATATCACACTGTACCCCAATTACTCATGTTTATTAGCCATCATTACAATGTTGTTTCACTGGTAGTGGCTGGGGTCAAGGAAAGGTGATTTATAAAAAAAACAAGGAGAAGCAACGTGTGCAAGGGAAACTGCCTGTCTGAAATGAAATTAATTCAAGGGAAGGGGCAGAAAGAGAAAGGTCAGAGGGAACACTGCCCAAACTCAAACCCCTAAGACAGAAAAGAGACTCTGAAGAAATGACAGCTTCCTGCTAGGACAACAAACTGGGGCCCTCAAACCAAAGCCTGACTGTTAACAGAGATCAGCCAAGGAGTATATGTGTTAAGGAGTACATATGAGAAAGAGAGCACTGGCAATTCAGCCAATAAGGCCACACTTATAACTATTTCTCGTTTCATATGTGAATCAGAACCATGCAAATAAACAATAATCTAATAGTTACTAAAGTTCCAGAGTCAAACTGTCCCACTACGCTATCATTTATTGAGAATTCTTCTATTTTATCCACCCAATGTTTCTATCAAACAAGATCAAAGTTAACTGAGATGTTAAAAGCTGATTTTAAACACGGGGAAGAAAAAAGATAAAGTACCCAAGTATTTTTAGAAATGAGTCTTTTTGTACATTCTTACACTTCTGACAGTGAACTAACTTCAACAAGAATACATTACTGTCTATCAATCTCAAAAATATTTTGAGTGATCATGCAATTTTATAAGCAGGATAAACAAGAAAATAATTTGGGGGATGGCAGGCTAGGAATGTTAACTCTTAAAACAGGTCTTACCCATATGACAAGGTGAAAAATGGTTTTTTCATTTGTTTTTAAAAAAACACTTTCCACTCACACATCCAAATGTTCTTTTTTTGAGACAAGGCCTCACTCTGTCACCCAGGCTGGAGTACAGTGGCGTGATCTCAGCTCACTACAACCTATGCCTCCTGGTTTCAAGGGATTCTCGCGCCTCAGCCTCCAGAGTAGCTAGGATTACAGATGCACGCCACCATACCCAGCTAATTTTTTTTTTCTTTTGATAGAGAAGGAGTTTCACCATATTGGCCAGTCTGGTCTCACACTCCTGATCTCGAGTGATTCGCCCACCTCAGCCTCCCAAAGTGCTAGGATTATAGGTGTGAGCCACCGCACCTAGCCTAAATGTTCTTTAAAAAGTATATCCTCAGCTGTGCAAGGTGGCTTATGACAGCAATCCCAACACTTTGGGAGCCAGAGGCGAAAGCACTGCTTGAGGCCAAGAGTATGAGACCAGCCTGGGCAATATAGCAAGACCCCTCATCTCTACAAAAAATAAATTTAAAAAATAAGGCCAGGCATGGTGGCTCACACCTGTAATCCCAGCACTTTGGGAGGCCGAGGCAGGCAGATCACCTGAGGTCAGGAGTTCAAGACCAGTCTGACCAACGTGGTGAAACCCCGTCTCTACTAAAAATACAAAATTAGCCAGGCGTGGTGGCAAATGCCTGTAATCCCAGCTACTTGGGAGGCTGAGGCAAGAGAACTGCTTGAACCCGGGAGGCAGAGGGTACAGTGAGCCGAGATCACACCATTGCACTCCAGCCTCAGCAACAAGAGTGAAACTCCGTCTCAAAAACAAACAAACAAAAAAACAAAAAAAAGCAAGGAGTAGTGTTGCACACTTGCAGTCCCAGCTACTTGGGAGTCTGAAGTGGGAGGATCGCTTGAGCCCAGAAGTTTAAGGCTGCAGTGAGCTATGATTACACCACTGCATTCCAGTCTGGGCAACAGAAAAAGACCCTGTCTTAAAAAAAAAAAAAAAAAAAGATATATCCCCTCTCTTATGAAAGTCATAATTAATTTTTGGTAGAACAAAAATAAAACACACACATGTATATATGAGATTCTGTTTTTTACCTTCTATTCACAAATGCATACTTTAAATGACCATAATTAATTTTATCTAATGATTTTTGGCCTCAAATAGAATATGGGTTATAAAAACATATTTTATAATTTAAATATACACTGTGGGTTTTACCCCCGACAATACTACAAACGTAAATGCTTTACGCTTACTAGACACAATTGTTTTTAGTTTTGGCCCTCTTTCCCAAATCTACAGGTCTAATTTTAAATTAACAAAATGTTAATAGTAAAATCCTTTAAAACTAAAGTTACTGGAAAATTGTAATACATCCTGTTTAATTACAAATATTTTATTTAATAAATCATATTTGTGAAATGCAGTAAACAACTCCTTTGTGTGAATGTTTTCCATGACAACTGCCTTTAACAAGATCCCCAGACAGCACCTAAACATAACCAGCTTTAGTAAAAACACTAAACTTCAGTTTCTGGAAATTTTCTAGTGCAAATAAGATCAGAACAATTTTTCTTTCCATGCTATTTTTTCTCTCTTATTTATGATTGATACGGCTAACAACTGCTGAAATTTAGCTAAATATACCAAGTCCTAATTACATAAGTCAAGCAATATAATATCATTATAATGCAGGTCAAATAACATCGGTATAGTAAGAGATATAGTCTTAATACAACTACAATTTTAATCCTGACTCTAATATAACCATGTAAAACCTTCATATAAAATGAACTATATATCTTTTGTGTTCATACCTAACAATGAATAGAAACCAGGATAGTTACTAATTGTAATCAAGCTGAAAATGATAGCTAAGATACTTTTAAAAATCTTACCTCTGTATGTCGAACTATCATGGCTTTTATTTTCACTGAGGATCCGACATAAATGCAAACTAAAATAAAACAGAAAACATATGTTTCAATTTCCACTCTAACAAGATGATTCTTATAGAGCAAATTATATCAACTGACAAATAAAAAAATTTAATCAAGCATTTATTCTGCCTTTCATATACTAACTGTACCACTGGTAACCCATAGAAGATTAGAAATATCTCTGTAGTAAAAAAGAAGGAATTATGAAATTAGAATATCACCATTTTAAGATCCCTAATTAATTAAAGAATCTAGGCATCTACCAATGACTGCTCACATTATAAAAAGAGACTATGAAACAATATGTGTCTCCAGATTCTGATGAAAGAAAACACCATGCAGGCTAGATGTGGTGGTTCACGCCTGTAATTCCAGCAGAGTGAGACCTTATCTCACCAAAAAAAAGAAGAAGAAGAAAAGAAAGCATCATCCACCTACGAAGTTGTCTTAGGGGTGGGGAAACATGAATCAAAATCTGATCAAGCCATCTAGATCCAACTACCAATTTACAGAAAAAGACCACAGGGTAATATATTAAGAGATACCATAGAGATACAATCACCAAAATTCAAACTACGGGAAAATCTAATAGAGAGGGACCCAATCTCTTGAACAAACAAATTGCAAGGAAAAATAGAAAAATATAATAAAATACAAAGGAAGAGAGCAAAAGAGGAAAAGAACAGAAGAGCTCCAAAACAGAAAAACAATTAACAAAATGGGAGTAGTAAGTCCTTTCCTATCACTAATTACCTTAAATGTAGGATCTAACTCCACATCAAAAGACAAAGTATCTAAATTGTTTTGTTTTGTTTTGTTTGAGATGAAGTTTAGCTCTTGTTGCTCAGACTGAGTGCAATGGCGCAATCTCAGCTCACCGCAACCTCCACCTCCCAGGTTCAAGCAATTCTCCTGCCTCAGCCTCCCAAGTAGCTGCAACTGCAAGCATGCCCTGCCACACCTGGCTGATTTTGTATTTTTAGTAGAGAGGGGGTTTCTCCGTGTTGGTCAGGCTGGTCTCAAACTCCTAACCTCAGGTGATCCACTGACCTTGGCCTTCCAAAGTGCTGGAATTACAGGAATGAGCCACCGCAGCCAGCTAAACTGATTTTTTTTTTTAAGATGAGTTGGTTTTTTAAAAAAGCTGTATGCTGTCTACAAGAAACTAGTTTTAGATTTAAGGACACAGGCTGAAAGTGAAAGGATGAATAAAGATACTCCATTCAAATGTTAGCTAAGAGAGAAAAGGAGTGGCTATGCTTATATTAGACAAATATACTTTGAAAATATAACAATTATAAATATATACACATACCACATCAGAGGACAAAAGCGCATGAATATATGTGACAGAGCTGAAGAAAGAAATAGACACCAACACAGTAATAGTAGGGAATTTCAATATACTGCTTTCCATAGAATATCCAGACAAAAGATCAATAAGGAAGCAGAAGACTTGAATAATACCACAAGCCAAATGGATTTAACAGACATATACACAACATGCCACCCAAGATAAGGAGACTACATTCTTCTCAAGCACACACAAACCTTTTTCCAGGCTCTAACATGTGATCTAACCTTCTGATCATTAGATCACAAAAAAATAACAAATTTTAAAAGACTGGAAAATATTCCAAACAGAATAGAATAAAACTAGATATCAATACCAGAAAGAAAACTGGAAAGCTCACAACTATGTGGAAATTAAACACATTCTTGAACAACCAAAGAATCAAAGAACAAAATCAAAAAGGAAATTCAAAAATATCCTGAGACAAATGAAAATGAAAACATAAATACCAAAATTTATGAGATGCAGCAAAAGCAGTTCAAAAGAGTAAATTTATAGCAATAAATGCTTTTTTTTGGACATAGTATCTCATTTTATCACCCAAGCTGTACTCCAATGGCAAAATCTTGGCTCACTGCAGCCTCAACCTTCTGGGCTCAAGTGATCCTCCCACCTCAGCCTCAGTGCCCCCCCACCCCCATACCCCAGTAGCTAGGGCCACAGGTACATGCCCCATGTCCAGCTAATTTTGTATTTGAAGAGACAGGGTTTCACCATGTTACCCAGGCTGGTCTTGAATTCCTGGGCTCAAGCAATCTGCCCACCTTAGCCCCACACAGTTCTAGGAATACAGGCGTGAGCCACTGAGCTCAGCCTATAAATGCCTTTTTTTTTTTTTTTTTTTTTCTCAAACTGCCTAACTCAAAACTTCAAGGAACTAGAAAAAGAAGAACAAAGTCCAAAGTTAATAGAAGGAAGGAAATAACAAAGATTAGGGCAGAAACAACTGAAATACAGAATTAAAAAACAAAACAAAACAAAAATCGGCTGGGCCTGGTGGCTCATGCTTGTAATCTTAGCACTTTGACAGGCCAAAGCTGGCAGATTGCTTGAGCTCAGGAATTCAAGACCAACCTGGGCAACATGGCAAAACCTGTCTCTACAAAAAAATACAAAAACTCAGCCAGGCATGGGGGCCCATGCCTGCAGTCCCAGCTACTTGGGGAGCTGAGGTGGGGGGATCACTTGAGCCAAGGAGGTCGAGGCTGCAGTGAGCCAAGATAGCGCCACTGCACTCCAGCCTGGGTGACAAAGTGAGACCTTATCTCAATTTAAAAATAATAATAAAATAAAGAAAAGAAAAAAAAAATCAAAATTAAGAGTTGGTGTTTTTTTTTAAAAGACAAACAAAACTGACAAATCTTTAGCTAGACATTTAATAAAGAAAAAAATTCAAATAATATTAGAAAAAGAGAAAACATTACAACAAATTACACAGAAAAAAAAATGGAATTTAAGAGGCCACTATAACACGATACCAGAGCCAGACAAAAACATTACAAAAAAAGAAAATTACAGGTCAATGCATCTTATAAACACAGATGAAAATATCCTCAACAAACACCAGCAAACAGAATTTAACAGCACATTAAAAGGATCATTCACCGGCTGGGCACAGTGGCTCGTGCCTGTAATCCCAGCACTTTGGGAGGCCAAGGCGGGCAGATCATAATGTCAGGAGTTTGAGGCCAGCCTGACCAACATGATGAAACTCCCTCTCTACTAAAAATACAAAAATTAGCCACCAGTGGTGGCACGCAACAGTAATCCCCCCTACTCATGAGGCTGAGACAGAAGAATTGCTTGAACACAGGAGGTGGAGGTTGCAGCAAGCCGAGGTTGTGCCACTGCACTCCAGCCTGGGTAACAGAGCAACACTCCATCTCAAAAAAAAATCATTCACTATGATCACAATGGATTTATCCCTGGGATGCAAAGATGATACAACATACACTAAATGTGACACATTAATAGAATGAAGGATAAAAATCACTTCATCATCTCATTAGATGTCAAAACAATTTTGACAAAATTTAATACCCTTTTATGATAAAACTCTCAACAATTAACTATAAAGGCTGAGTGCAGTGGCTCACCCCTGTAATCCCAGCACTTTGGGAGGCCAAGGCAGGAGGATCACTTAAGGTCAGGAGTTGGAGATCAGCCTGGCCAACATGGTGAAACCCCACCTCTACTAAAAACATAAAAATTAGCCGGGTGTGGTGGCACGTGCCTGTAATCCCACCTACTTGGAAGGCTGAGGCAGAAGAACCACTCAAACCCAGGAGATGAAGGCTGCAGTGTTGCAGTAAGCCGAGATCTCACCACTGCACACCAGCCTGGGTGACAGGGCAAGACTCCATATCAAAAAAAAATACATACTAACTATAGAAAGAATGTTCCTCAACACACACAAAAAAAGGCCATAAATAACAAGCCCACAGCTAACATTATATTCCACAGTGAAAAGCTGAAAGTTTTTCCTGTAAGATCAGGTACATGCCGACCCTCATCACTTCTACTGAACAGAGTACTAAAAGTCCTTGCCAGAGCAATTAGGCAAAAAGAAGAAATGAAAGTCATCCAAACAAGAAAAGAAGTGAAAGATATCTCTGCTGACAAAATGATCTTATATTTAGAAAATCCTAATGACTACACCATAAAGTTGTTAGAAATAATAAATACGCTGTATCCATCAACGTGAAAAAATATTAAAAAATAAAATAATAATAAATAGGGTAAAGTCACAGGATATAAAAATCAACACACAAAAATAGGCAGTGTTTCTATATACTAACAATGAACTACCTGAAAAAATATTTTTATTCCACTTAAAATAGCTACATTATAGCATTCTAAGAATGACAAAAAGAGAAAAATAATAAACAAAATAAAATAGCTACAAAAAATAAAATAAGATACTTAGGAAGAAATTTAACCATGGAGGTGAAAGATCTATAAACCACAAACTATGCTGATGAAAGAAACTGAAGAAGACAAAAAAATGGAAAGATATTCCATGTTCATTGATTAGTATAATTAAGATTGTTTAAATGTTCATGCTACCCAAAGAGATATAAAGACTCAATGCAATCTCTATCAAAGCACCAATGACATTATTCACAGAAACAGAAAAATCCTTAAATTTATATGGAACCAAAAAACAAACAAGCAAACAAACAAAAAACAAATAGCCAAGGCAATCTTGAACAAAAAGAAAAAAGCTAGAAGTATCACCCTATTTGACTTCAAACTAAAGTTGGCCCACTGTATCCCAAGGGGATTGGTTCCTGGGCCATCTTCCACACACACCAAATTCACAGATGCTCAAAAGTCCCTTATGTACAGCATATATAGAGTCATCCCTCTGTATCTGCAGCTTCCACATCTGCGGATCCAAACAACTGTAGATAGAAAATACTTAGTCAGCCCTCCATATCCACAGCTTTTGACCTAGAGTTGGTTGAATCTGTGGATGCGGCCAACAAACTAAAGATAAGGCCAGCTAACTGTATATTACAAAGCTACGGTAATTAAAACAGCATGGCGCTGGCATAAAAACAGACGCATCAACCAATGAAACAGAATAGAGAACCCTGATATTAACACATGCGTTTATAGTCAATTAATTTTCAACAAAGGGTACCAAGAACACATAACAGG